AGGAATAGACTTGAACGTTTAACCCTTAGCACTCCAGATGTTTTGTAATCTACCAGCAACTGCAACTAATTTTTATGGAGTCTCTAGTGAAAATGAAAAATGCTATATACCTTCGATCTTTTAATAGAAATCTAGTAATTGATAATAGAAAATCTAATAATATTAGGGTAATTTCTTTAATTCATTAAAATATTGAATATTACAACTGGTGCAGTATTGGAGCCTATAAAGTTCAAAGGGTTAAACCAAGGAAACAATTTTAAGTAAAACTTTCAGAAGGTATCTAGCGACAGCATCGGTAGAAAGAAAAAGAGTATTCCAAAATCTCAGCAAAATGGCGACATTCCTCCGCAGAGGGTTAACAGAGTCAGTCGAGTGTCTTGAAAATTTGAAAATTTGAAAGAAGTTGAAGTGGAGCTGCCCGATTCGACAGAAAACCGTCGCTTATTAATTTACCTTGCATATGCAGTTGAAACACTTGGTGTTCGGGATCTTGTCGACGGTGAAGTCTTCTCCCTCGACGTCGCACGTTTCCCGGCTGCCTGCAATCAGAGCCGCGACGCTAATCACACCGAGCGAACACGGAACGGACGCGGATCCAGCGATCCATCGGCGTTTCGCGTCGCTAGAAAACGGATCGCGGTCGCACGATATCGATTTCCCGAGGCGATAATCCGCGCCGTGCCTCGCGACGACGTCGGCCACCGTTTCAGACGGTCGACCTTCGCGTTCCGCGTGCCCGGTGCATAACCGAGTAGTCGATCTCGATCGCGGGCCCGCCGTCTTTTCCGATCCAAGGGTTGCCGAACGGAGGGTCGAACTTGTCGCCTCTTTCTGAATCTCGTCGCGTTTCGACCACTGTCTAAGGTTTGACACCTTGGTTTCATTAATTGAATGTCTCGCTTGGCAAATTGATCAACTCAAACACAAAGTGGAGAACAATGATGCAGTACAATGGTTTGCAAAATTTATGTTGAAATAGAATGTTAACCCTTTGCACTCGAGAGGTGACTGTCAGTCATCATTTCATTCGATATAATAAAGATACAAAGTGTTATATATAATTAAGTTTCGCATGATGCATCGATATGTGAAACATTTATATAAAATAGCTTTGTTTCTTAATTTAGAGTGTCGAATATTTCTAGTGAAGCTTTCGAGTGCAAAAGGTTGACCGTTTGCGCTTCTGTTTTATTAGGTGTGATTCTTTGTAGAGATATTTTTCAAATGGATTATATTGTTATGTTATTTTCAATGTTATTGGTGAGGAGAATCGTTTACAGTGGTCTCTATAAATTAACTTTTTCAAATGCATTTCGACATCAGTTTTATTCATTAGTATGATTCTTGGTAGAGATATTTTTCAAATGGATTATATTGTTATGTTATTTTTAATATTATTCTTAAGGAGAATCATTTACACAGCTTTCTACAACATATTTTTTAAAATAGATTCCAAAGAAAATGTAATAATACAGAGTTCTCGAGGAAAAAATGCAAAAGAAATTCGAAGTTTGATCTAAACAATATATAAAATGTATTAATTGTAATGTAATGTAAAATTTTGTTTCGTGGTATCGCTGGTAATAAGAAGATTCATTTCTAATAGAAAAAGTCAAGAGTCGACGAAGCGTTTTAACGATGGGATCTTAAGAAATTCAGAAAGTGGAGTTAATGGATTTGCCAAGCGAGCCACTCGATTAAGCTAAATAATTTCCTTATTTATTATTTAAATTTTACTGTAGAGTTCGGTAGAGTAGAACGAGAATCCGAACAAGGAAATAAGAAAAATGAACAAGCAATGTATAAAACTTGTTATCTCTTCCATTCTCTTCGAGTCGCAATTAATCAATGTAACGGGTCGAATCGGTTTGAAACCGGCAATTAACGCCTCGCGCTATATCTTTCCCAATTGCGCTCAGCAGAAACACTCTATTGTTCATAATCCATTACAAAAATTGGAAAATCCTACGTTCTGTCTAAGCATATGTTATGCCTATGTTTCCTTTGAAGTATAATAGTTGATTACAGAGGAATAACATTTACTTTGAATTCCAATGAACCGAGTAATATATATATTTCTCAATTCTGATCGATATTGCTACTTTGTCATTAATAATTTATTGGAAAAAGAGAAAAATTCTAAGCATATGATACACCTATGTTTCCTTTTAAGTATAATAATTGATTACAGAGGAATAATATTTACTTTGAATTCGAATTAACTAAGTAATATATATATTTCTCAACTCTGATTGATATGGCTACTTTGTCATTAATAATTTATTGGGAAAAGAGAAAGATTCTAAGCATATGTTATGTCTATATTTCCTTTGAAGTTGATTATAGAGGAATAATATTAATAATATTAATAATAATAATATCAACTATTACACTTCAAAGGAAACATAGGCATAACATATGCTTAGACAGAACGTAGAATTTTCCAATTTTTAATGGATTATGAACAATAGAGTGTTTCTGCTGAGCGCAATTGGGAAAGATATAAGTATATATATTACTCAGTTCATTCGAATTCAAAGTGAATATTATTCCTCTGTAATCAACTATCATACTTAGGAAGTATATACACATTTGTTGAATCACGTTGAAAATCTTCACGACTCTCACTCGTAGTGCAAGGGGTTAACCGGCGAACCTATCCCGGTAATTGAATTTGCATTCCCGCGGATGTTATGACATAATTCGAGACGAATTTCTCAGATGCACGAAAGACCGAGACGGCTAGAAACCGGTGAAAGGTAGAGGAATAACTCGCCCGTCGGTTAACGGGTTAATTTCGTTTTAATAACGTTCCCCGGCCGCATTGGGAAACATAACGATTTTACCATCGCACCGAACGGAGCAGTTCCACCGTTAATTGCCCGTGTAATCAACGAATCGATCGATTACCGCTCGGAACAGTTGAATTCGTTCATTCGTTCGTTTCTCGTTTGGAAATCGCCTTTCGAGCCCGCGATCGCCGGTTTCCGGTGGCGACGCAATACGACGCGATACGATCGAGATCGAAAGCGCCGCGGGAATCTGATAGATCGGCCGAGGCGCGCGAGAAAGGACGCGGCGTTGGTGTTCGCGGCCGTTTTCCTCGCCTTCGTCCCTCATTCTCGCTCTCTTCTCGCGCTTCTCTCGGCGATCGGCCGCGTTCCGCGCGCGGAACGCATAGTTCCTCGTGCCCGGTCGATCCCGCGAGCCGATCGTCCCGGGACAACCGACCGCGGACCAGCTTTAGCCCTTCGCGCGACAGAAAATCTCTGTACAGTTATGAACAATGCTAGAGTATTAATTTTGTATTCTAATGAACTCTGAGGGAAAGTTGACAACAGTGCCACTGAAATGTCATGTGCAAAGAAAAAGAAATAATAGGGAGATGTATAAAAGTTACCAGAAATTTGAATATAACGTAATGATTCATTGGAACGATCGATGCAGTTCTTAAGCGAAATATGATCATTTCTGTGGCACAGAACGTGTTAACCCTTTGCACTCGGAAGTTTCCACTAGAATTATTTTCACATTTTCTGACGAGATAAACACGATATTTCGTGAAATTCACTCAACGAGAAATCATACATTGAGGAACAGAGCTATTTTATTTCAATACTTCTCAAATTGATACATTATATAAAGTATAATATTAAATATCAAATTTTATAGTTTTACTGTATGAAATCGAGTGGTGAGTGACAGTCAGCTCTCGAGTGCAAAGGGTTAAACTTCCACGCGATACCGATTACATACTCGACGTCCGTTGTTATTGGCATTCTTCACAGTTGTACAGTGAGTCGGTTAACGTTGACCGCCGAAACACCGACAGAAAGGTCAAGATTCGTCGCAGCGACTAGTCTCTTGACCTTCCTGCGGATATTACGACATGATTCGCACTTGGATCTCACAGATCCGAGAAAACTCGATCGATGCGTCGCTATGAAAATGAATCTAACCCTTTGCACTCAAGAATTTCGCTAGATACATTCCTGATCTTCTAATGAAATATCAATGATATGTTTCACAATTAATATTAACATAAACAATACAGAAATTAAGGGATAGAACTATTCTATTTCAAAGTATCATGGATAATTACGTTAAATGGATTGTTACTGAATATTAAACTTTGGAATTTTGTATCAAACCAAATGACTGCGGGTCACCATTTGATCCAATATAACAAATCTACAAGGTTGAGTGTTTAATATTTCAAACAAACCTTCACATTGTTGCGTGAAATATTAAACACCTTTGTTGCTTAATTTATCTATAAAGAATAGTTAAGAATAATAAAGAATAGTTCTCTTCCTCGACGCACCTAAGATTTCTCAATTCAATCTCATAAAACATCGTCTGCATCTCATCAGAAACTATCGAACGTTTCCATTTCATTAAAAACTCTCGAGCGCAAAGGGTAAATCCACAACAGTATCAAGAAAACTGAAGCGACAGCGGTCGAAGCGTTCTGCGTCTCGCAACAATGCGATCGTTCGCAACGGAGATCCGCGGCCGCGTCCGTCGATCGTTTCTACGACTGACGCAACGCTCGTTGCAACAGATTCTCGTTCGAATATCCTCGACCCGCTCCGCGAATCTCCGCTCGCGATACTCGATCGCCCGGCGATCGGCCGAGTGACCCGCACCGTAGCCGGACCGACTCGCTTCCACCCGATTCCGTTCAATTCTACTCGATTCTACTCGATTCGATGCAAATAGACCGGCGGATAATGGACGCGTACTAAGAATAGAGCGTTGAAAACTCGTAAATGGAGCGTGACGCGGCCGCGGAGCTGGAGAACGCGAAACGATCGGCCGAACGCGAGGCGAGGCGAGGCGAGGCGAGGTCCGGGCTGGCTGCCAGAAAATCGGCGGCCCGCGAAACTCACCGATTATGCTTTCCGAGGCGTTGCACCTCGCGATCGACGACAGCAAGGCCAGGGTCAGAGCTAGGGCCAACGGCGTCTTCGGCTCCATCCTAGCGTCCGGTCCGCGCGGCCCGTTCGTCGTCCTTCGTTCTCGCCGGCGACGATCGACTGGAACAATCGGACACACAACTTGAAATGAACGACTTTTCAATCGGCCGCTGGAGAAATTCGTTCTGCGCTTTTCCGTTTTAACTGTTCAGCATTAACCTATTGCCCTGTGATTTCCCTGTCGACTGCGATGGATTCGAATAGTTTGTTAGTAGTTTATTGGACGACTGGGTCGTAGAAATACTCTGTGTTTGAGGTTGTAGGTTTGGAATATGGTTATTGGGCATTGAGAGATAATGTCTAATTAGAACTGGAATGAACTGAGTAATATTCATGTTTCTTGAATTTTTTAGGAGTTTATTAATTGGAAATGATTGCAATATGTATACTCTATATTCCCGTTTGATCTATAATATAATTATTGGGAATAGAGTGATAATGTCTAATTAGAACTCGAGTGAACTGAATAATATTTATGTTTCTTGAATTTTTGAGGAATTTATTAATCGGAAATGATTGCAATATGTATACTCTGTATTCCCGTTTGCTCTTTAATGTAATTATTGGGAATCGAGAGATAATGTCTAATTAGAACTGGAGTGAACTGAGTAATATTTATGTTTCTTAGATTCTTGACGAACTTATTAATCGGAAATGGTTGCAACATGTATACTCTGTATTCCCGTTTGCTCTGCAATGTAATTATTGGGTATAGAAAGATAATCTCTAATTAGAACTCGAGTGAACTGAGGAATATTCATGTTTCTTAAATTCTTGTGAAACTTATTAATTGGAAATGATTGCAACATGTATATTCTTTATTCCCGTTTGCTCTTTAATGTAATTATTGGGAATAGAGAGATAATGTCTAATTAGAACTCGAGTGAACTGAGTAATATTCATGTTTATTAAATTCTTAAGAAATTTGTTAATTGGAAATGATTGTAACATGTATATTCTATATTCCCGTTTGCTCTAAAGTATGATCATTGAGAGTAGAGAGATAATGTCTAATTAGAACTCGAATGAACTAAGTAATATTCATGTTTATTAAATTCTTAAGAAACTTATTAATTGGAAATGATTGTGACATGTATATTCTATATTCTCGTTCGCACATTTCTCGTTAGTTCGTTTCAAATGTCATTCGCGTCTCATCGAAAACTGTCGAACGTTTCCAGCGAAAAGCTTCCGAGTGCGAAGGGTTAACCCTTTGCACTCAACAGGTGACTCTCACTCACCATTCGATTAGATGCGGTAAAACCATAAAATTTGATATTCAACATTAAACTATGTATAATGCATCGGTGTGTGAGATATTGGGATAAAAAAGCTTTGTCTCAATTCACTTGCGATTTCTCTCTAAGTTAATTTAACCCTTCGCTGACGAAGACTCTTTAAAATACACAAAAGACTCAACAAACAAAACTAAATTATATACCAATTGCTTAAACAATAGAAAAACCAAAAAGTACGTTCCGATCTCTTGCTGTCTGAATAATTAACTCATTCGCTGGCGACATAGGCTTCGAAACATTAACATTTCATCTCGAAACGTCGACATTCGTCCGCAAAGGGTTAAAACAACATCGACCGTGTCTAGTTAGAAGTATTAGAACGAAATATTTCCGAGTGCAAAGGGTTCACCGAATGAATCGCTCCACCTGCGTACGCGTACAGAGAGCGTCGATCGCGATCGAAGGACCCTCGCTGCTTAAGGAAGAGCCGGCGTCGCGGCCGCGGTACTGCGTCGCAGCCTCCGCGGGTATATTTGCTCGGCGCGTGTATATTTTGACGAGTGACGCGCGCCGCGCGGAATCTTTCCCCGAAAAAGCCATAACGAGGCCGCCGTTTCCGCGGAAAACGCGCCCTTCGCGTTACCGCCGATTGCGCAACAAACGGCGAACACATTTCGGCGGATTCCGACGCGAGCGGCGAGAAAGAGAGGAAGAGAGGAGAGGAGAGGGGACAGGCCGAGAATAAGTCGGAGGATAAGGAAATCGGCGGGCGAGGCTCGGAACGGCGCGCGCGATCGATAGGCGTTCGGTTTCGCAATCGCGCACGCGATCGATCCGAGCTCTCGCGCTCCCGACCGCGATTCACGGAATTTTCCCTCGGCCATTGTCTCTCCCGCTCTCTCTCCTCCTCTCTCGCTCGCGCTCCGCGTCTTTCCTGCCGTTTCTCTTTCGCTCTCGGCGTGCTTCTCGTTCGCGTTTCCATTCGCTCGGTCCCCGGCCGTGTCGGCGCGAGGCTGCTCGCGAGGGACCGTCGAGACTCTGTTCTCTCGGCGCCGAGAGATTTTCAGCGCTCAAGGATTCCCTCTCGCGGAGCGGCGCGGAGCGGAGAGAGAGAGAGAGAGAGAGAGAGAGA